AATTGTTGAATTAGTAATGCAAATATTCAAGAAATATCGAAAGAGAATGGCTGAAACATCGATCATATTCCAAATGAACACGTACGTATCTTTCAGAGATCATCAGTCAAACGCCGCCTATTACTTGGAGCAAGATCCAGTGCATGTGAAATTGTATGGAGGACAACGTCCACAGTATCCATATCATGGACAGCGTAGTGATTGGTTGAAAGAATGTCTCGATAACGAGTCTGGTTCGTTGAATCGTTTGCTTATTGCCGAAGCGGCCAATTCAACAAATTTCCTATGTGCAATCATTTTATGCGTCTCAACTTCCAATAACGACACTCAAGTTTCAGTGAGTCGTGATACAAACTTCCGACGTCAAACGTTCTGTGAAGGTGCTGCTGCAAGTGGATCACGGCGTTCATCGCATACAAGTGAACCGTGCGATGAGATAGCAAACGAGATCACAAGTAGTAGTGATGTGTTGTGCGATGATCCGCGAGATAATGAACGATTAAAGCAGCAATTTGATGTCACGTCTTCAATGATCAATCAACGCCAAGAATCAACGTCGGTTCTTTCGATTGCATATTTTCAGCGGAAAATTCTCATGGTCGAACAACTTTATATGCAGCAATTCAACTGCTCCTCTCAAAACTGAAATGAAACTGCTGAAATATCGATGAATATTCGCATCATTTGCGTTGCATATACATGTAAATGTGACACTTATCGGTTTCATCAAAATTTTCAGTGATGAAAGTTCTTCGATAGTTTCGACGAGTCAACAGCGATCGTCGGATGACAGCAACGACAGCCCAAGCGATGAGAGCAGCAGTTCGGGGATTTCGCATGGTATCATTATTGACGCGGCTCGTCAAACTTCTCTGGTTTGTTCACCTCAAGTTCGATGTCAATATTCCCTAATTCGGACGTGTTAATTTATGTGAAAAATGATTTCATTCATTTAACCCATCTGAAAGATTTACGTTTTCCAATATGTTCTCAATTGAAGGAATGTCAGAGTGCTTCTACCGAAACCTCCAAATCACCCTCACCAGCGCACCAAGTTAGTGGTGGACTCGGCGGCGTCGGATCCTCTCAAACTCATCCTCCGAGTGGTAGCGAACAAGCGTCAACGTCAGCTGCTAATCGCAATTCCGATTCCAGCAGTCCTTACTATAAATTGAACAGGTGTGCACACCACTCATAGCATCATTGATTCAAGAAGAGAGCACGCAATTCGTTGCACTCAAGTACTGCTCTAGTACGATCCAATGATACAAGATTGCCT